TTCCAGGGACTCGTACCTCCTGAAAGTATCCCTGGTGGTGTACACGCCAGGCTGCTAACTGCAAGGTCAGCAGTTCCAAACCACCAGCTACCCCTCAGGAGAAAGATGGGGCTTTCTACTCCTATAAAGAGTTAGTCTTGGACCCTCACAAGGCAGTTCTACCTACCCTAGGGGGTCGCCATGAATTGGCATCGACTCGAGGTCTGTGCGTTTGGTTTTGATCTGTGTTCCCCCCCATAACATGTTCCAGGTATGTGGGACCCGTCTCCACAGCCTAGCTTCTAAAGAGCTTTCTGGCTGTACGTCTCCCAAGACAAGTTGTTTATTCTGTGGGCGGTCTGCGGCATGTTCAGTATTCGGAGCCAAGACTGTTCGGCAAAAGCATCGACCCTTCTTCCGTCTTCTTTATTCCTGGTCTCCCTTTCGCATGGACAAGAGGTGCCCGGACACTAGCATGACTTGGGTCAGGTGCAACCTCCACCCTCACACAGTGACATTTTTGCACTTTACAAATGCCTTCTGCAGCAGATTTGCCCGATCTAATACACCATTGGGTTCCTCGCTGCTGCTTCCATGGACGTTTATTGTGCATGCAAGCAAAATGGACTCCTTGATAACTTCAGTCTTTTCCCCATTTGTCATGATGCTGCTTATTGCTCTAGTTGTGAGGATTTTGGTTTTCTTTGTGTTAAGGTGCAAACCATACTGAAAGACGTGGTCTCTGATCGTCAGTAAGTGTTTTAAGTCCAGGTGGCAGGGTGTGGGAGGGAGGGGAAAGTTCAGGAGGGAGTGTGGGGGAGGGAGGGGAAAAAAGAAGCGCTGATACCAAGGGCTCAAGTAGAAAGAAAATGTTTTGGAAATGTTGTTGGCAACATATGCATGTACAAGTGTGCTTAATACAATTGAATGATGGATTGTTATAAGTAAGAGCCCCCCAATAAAATGATTAATAATCATAATAATAATAAGCTCCTGAGTAAAAGTGACCACTTTCCAAAGTTTGAAGGGACAGTCATGCCAGACATCAATAAGGATAACTGTGTGAATCAATAAGAATAACTGTGTGAAAGAATTCATCTGAAACTATATAGTCCTATATTCCCACCATGGAATTATTGAAACTATTTCTATGATGCTGTGAAGAAGAAATGAATGTTTCTGTACAAACTCTTTTAGTGGGTTATCGTAGAGAATATAAAGGACAATAATTTGAGACGAGGACTAGAGTAAGGAATGGCTTTTCAGCCGAGGTTGTAATCGGGCTTGAGTTGATTTATGCAAGGATAGAACAGAATGTTGTAGAGCCTTCTAGGAATACTACTGCCTGATTCTCTTGCCATGTCCTAGGAGAAAGCACAAGGACAGAGCGAGGGGCAGAGCCTCAGAGAGCAGGAGATTCACTCGAAAAGTCACTCCACTCAAAGAACTGGAACAGGGCGAGACAAGGAAGGCACTACCCATGGGCACAGCATTTAAGGGATCAAAAAAAGTATTCATCAAGAAACCCTATCTATTTTAATGCAACATTAAAAAAAACCGAGTTGGCAAAATTTGGCTTGCAAGCCAAAAGGCCTGTTTTCATAAATCAAGTTTATTGGGAAAAGGGCCAGGGTGAAGGTAAAGTGAGGGAGGCAGGGTTGTGCAAGTGTGGGGTTGGTTCCTTTATTTCAAATGCTGCTGTTTTGTTTAAAATAGTGTTTGGTTTTGCATTCATT